GAAATTAGAATTTGAGATGACTTACTATAATAATAATAAATATTTATTTCAAAAAAAAAACAATGGGTACATTATATTATATTAGTAACCGTAGCGCCCTTTTAAGCTAATAAGCCTGTATCAGAGAGCACCGCTCTTCCATTAATTTATGTCGTTTTTAGAAGAATGTACAAGTTAAAAATAAAATTTACGACGTAAAATTTGTAGAGGTAGGCCGAACGAGCCTTGTATTGTCTTGAAGCAAAAACAGAATTGCGGGGCAAAAACAGAATTTGAGGGTTTCCAGCCTTGCCTGCCTTGCCTTCTACTTACAGCATTAATGGCATCAAATTTTAGGGTTTTGTGTTTACTCAGAATTGTCTGTATAATGTAAAGCTTTCTAATTGAAAGAATTCGGGTAGTTTCATAAAATATATCAGTTGAAAAAACTTGTTTTTTAAAATACATAACCTTTATCAAACCACGTTGTGCACGTTTTGCCTCAAGAAAGCGCGTTTTGGCTGCACCTCCCCATACAGGCAAACAGTAAGCAAGAACAGACTGCACTAAGGATATGTATATTTCTCTTAGAAAACACCTGTCCCCAGTCCCCTTTCTTCTGTCTTAGTACCACATGTCTGTCAATCCATTCCTTATTCTCTGAGTGACATGTTCAAGTTGAGGATACCAAGAGAGTCTTTGATCCAGCCACACTCCCAAATATTTAGCTTCGGTTACTTTTTGTATAGTGGGGCAATGGCAGTTCTGTCTATCTTTTGTGATACGGCAGTGATGTACTCTCACCGCAAAATCAAGTTCTGGCTGAGCGTTGTTATAAATGCTAAAGCATATATAGCAACTTTTGGCCATATTGAACATAAGGAGATTAAATTGCAGCCATTTACCTATTTGCTCAAGACCTTTTTCTGAATTATTTTTAGCAATGTCCCAGGATCCTCCGGTGAAAACAACGGCAGTGTCATCCGCATAAGAGAATATTTTGACATTTTCAAGGCTCATGTTACATAAATCATTCAGATAAATTAAGAATAACGTGGGGCCAAGAACACTTCCTTGCGGGACACCAAACGACACATTAGTGCAATCACTAGTATAATTTTCTAGTTTTACTTTCTGCCTCCTGTTTGCAAGGTATTCCGTGAGTAATTTTAGTGGAACACCCCTGATACCAACTCTTTCCAGCTTATGTACAAGAATGGGGATAGAGACCGTATCAAACGCTTTCTTCAAATCCAAGAATACTGCTATGAATTTATTATGTTTATCCATTTCCTCTACTACCAATGAGCTCAATACAGAGACTGCATCTTCGGTGGACTTTCCCTGTCTGAAACCAAACTGGGAAGCAGACAAGATCTCATATTTTTGTAAGTAGGCGTTTAATATTACATTTATAAGTCTTTCGAATATTTTGGATATCGCAGGCAGCACCGACATATGCCTATAGTTGCTTACGTCATCTCTATCCCTAGTCTTGTAAACCGGAGTAATAATCGACTGCTTCAGGGGAGCTGGAAATATTCCTTTATCAAAGGACAGGTTTGCTAGGTGAGTTATAATGGGAACGATTACTTATTTTGCATGTTTAAGAGAAGCAGTCAAATATTATCCCAGCCTAGAGAACTTTTAGATTTTAGGTTCATCAAAATGTTGTTAACTTCATAATGATCAGTGTGCAGAAGTACAAAGGAGTTTGGATGTGTTGTCAAATTTTGGAGGTAAAAGTTAGAGTCGCTTTCCACATATTCAATATTTTCTGCAAGCTGTTCACCAATATTAGAAAAATAGTTATTTACAGAGTTTGCAGAGGCTATCGGGTTATCAGAAACATTAAGAAGTTCTATATTTAAAGTCTTCAGTTTATTAGTGTGAGTAATAGTTTTGATATTTTTCCGTAATTGTTTGTTATTTTTGACTGATTTAGCCAACAACTCTCTCTCATAGTCTCTTTTTAACTTTTTAATAAGATTGTTACAGTAATTTCTATACCTCCGGTATGTGATTGTGATTTCGTTATTGGAAGGCTCATTACGTGCTTGTTTTTGAAGCTTATTACGGTTTCTTATGCAGCGCAAAATACCTGGTGTGATCCAAGGTTACAGGATACGATTTTTTCTAGAAATAGTTATGGTAACGGTATGTTCTTTTAGTGAGTTGGTGCATAAATCAAATGATTAGTTATTAACTCAGGGTCATCGCATTGTAGCAGTTTATCTAAGTTTTGATTTTTAAGGTGATCGAGAACTTTGTTAAAGTCAGTGGATATTTTTGATTCAGATACAGAAAGCTTAGGTTTCATTTTTGAGAGTATGAGGAAAGTTGCAAAATGGTCAGTGGTGGTCGTGTGTAATACAAAAATAGATGCCTGTACTTTGAGTTTATTTATATTTAACATAATGTGGTCTAGGCAGTTCTGTTCTCTTGTAGGGATAGTGTGGCCGGCCAGTATACCGTGCTCAGATAACATGTTTAAGTAATTTAGTCGATTTTTCTGTTCTTGGGGTTGTTCTATGGGCTTGAGAGCAATGTTAATATTAATATCGCCTGTAATAAAAACATTATGAAGTGACTTTATAGAACTTAAGTGTGAGTTCAATGAATTTATAAAACTATCAGCATTTTTAATTGATGGTGATCTATATATACATAAAATTATATTATTTAGGATGTCGAGCTTTAAATATGATGGTCAAATATATTTCCTTAATTTTGTGTTTTAAAGCATTCTTTACACGACACCATCGTTTTGATTCAGCCTAGACTCAGTAAAATAGGAGCAATAATTGGGCAGAACAGGTAGAGGTTTGCTAGAATTAAGTCTGCACTCCGTCAGTACAATAACATCAGTATTGAAGTTAGAGCTAGACAATGTCAGTACAAAATCGTCAATGTTACAATATGTACTCCTTATATTTTGTGATATCGTAGTAAAGTCATTCTTTTTTACATTTACACGCTTAATAAACTCCACCACGTCGCATTCACTAGACCGTGCCAGCTCTATTCTGTCTATTTCTTGAAGTGTGGTCATTGTATTATTCATGTGAAAAGAAAAATAGGCGAAAATATGTCAATTCGAAAAGCGTCAAGTATGTGATTGCAGGCGATCTATTATAATAATAATATGTATACTTTGTAAAGTTTACGGTTGAATTTTCTTTTTTTTACATATGTATGTTGATTTAAGAGGTTTATCTCTCATTAATGTGATACGTGTTAGTATCTGTAAAGAGTGTTTGCTAGGGCATAGTGTAATTCATTGGGTAAGGTATTGTGTGTGTGAGTGTATGTATAAAACATATTTGTGTAAGTACAAAGTAGTGTGTTTACGTGTGTTGCACGCGTATAACAGATATAGTGAAAAAGTATTATACAATCGTATAGCCAACAAAAGTAAATCAAACAATAATTGCGCAATAAACTCGAGCATGAGATAAAAAAGACGAAACAACAGACCTAGGATATGCAAAGCTAGTCACTTTTCCTTTAGTAGCTGGTGTACTTGCTCTTCGGCTCTAACCAAGATAATAGGAGAAAGTTCATTTTTTCGCACGTATATCTTACCATAAGTGGTCCAGCAGTACTTATAGCCTTTTGATTTTGCTAAGTCTCTCGCTAAAAAGAATAGACGTGATCCTCAGCAGTCAGGTGCTCAGAGAGGAAGACAGGGGTGTCTCCATTAGTTTTAAAGACTAGATGCTTAGCACAAATTTTAGTTTTGTTCCGAATGTTGAATGCCTTCGCCATCCTCATAAAATCTGTTTCTAACAATGCAGAGTTTGTTTCTAGAATTATGGGTGTGTTTTTTTGGTCTGGCTTTTTTCCACGCAACCTGTAAATATCTTTAATGTCGCCTTTGTTAATTTTACAATCTATGGTTTCTGAAAGACGTATAGTCATGTCAATTAGATCTTGCTTCGATTCATTTTCTTTCCTAGGAACATTTTTCAGCTCAAATGATGTTTTGCGGGTGGAGATTTGCAGTTTGTTTTCTAATTGCATTATATAATTCCTGTCTTCCTTTGCATGATTTTGCAGAGCTACAATTTATTTTTTGAACTCTTCATTTTGAGTAGTTAATAATATAAGCGAGCTCTTAATATTTTGTTTTGACAGGCGAACCTCTTTAAGTGTCGAAGTGAGATCTTTTGCTTGTTTACTTGTGATTGCCATTAGTTTAGCCATTTCTGCTTTTAGGTCCATAAATTGATCCTGTCTTATTTTATCCGAGTTATGAATATGTCTTTGTTGTGTACGTTGTGTAACCAAATTTGGTGTTCTTTTGGAAAATAATTTTAAACAAATTTTTGTACAAGATACGTCTGAACACCTCAGAGGTCCGGGGGGGAAGAGGTAGTATATCCCCTTAATCTGTAAGCAGTAAATAACAGTTCAAAAACTCTCCACAGCAGCGCTCGAGTAGCTACAGGGTATAATAAATCGCCGTAGAATACGTTGAGAGTGATTTTGAAAATAAAACTTTGAAAGAAATAAAATATTTATTGTAAAAAAAATTTGGTGAGTCTGTGCAATAAAAAAATATAAAGAGTTCTTTAAAATTTGGACTGTAGCTACAGTGGCGCCACTCTTATTTAGCGTTTTTCAACGGACACTTTTTTATACAGTCTGTACTCCTTACCTCTACACTCCATATTACATATAAAACAACACAATTACTAAATACTTACGAATTTATAGTTACTTAAACCAACACCAACAAAGAATAAACAAAAAAGTAAATCAACAGATATTACACACAAACACCAAATAGCCAAAAATAGAACGACGCTTGTATACCTCCTAAGGAGAATTCTCTTTCTCCACCAATTCCATTTGACATTCAAGTGGCTGTACAATCTTAAGGCCTATGACTAGTTGACTAGAAATAATAAACGTCAAAAATCATTATTGGCGGGGAACATACAAAGTACCAATATATTTTATTCTCTTAGCGGGAAAGTGTTAAAAAGACTTGCTAAGGCCGGTTTAAAATTTTCATAATGTCTTATCCTGTTGATTCTATAAAGCAGGGAGGGAAGTTTTATTTATGTTGGTTGGCAGATACGTGGCCGCTACGATTTGCAACTATTACTCACAGGCAGTTGTACTCTCAGGATATTCGAAAAATATGGTGAGATAATTTTTACATTAATTTTTAACTTTTCAGCCGACTTTATATACGATATATGTTTTATTCAGAACTTTTTTCTAGCTGAACCGATTTTGATGATTCTACAGAGGCTGGTGATTCTCATATGGTCCCATATAAACTTGATCAAAATATGACCAGTAGTTTTTGAGTAAACTTTAATAATACGTATTTAATCAACTTTGACTACATTGATTATGTTATCATTTTATTTATATTGAAGTCGGCTGTACAAAATATTTAATTATATTCTTGTACTTGTTTCATCTATGGTCAATTTAAATAATATGAACTTATGATTATGCTTTCAGTGATGATTTACTAGAAGTTACGACAAATGAGTCCAGTCATCCGGCAAAAAGAGTTTCTCTGCGTTTAAGTTCCCAGTTGCTTAGGGGCCTGGTGAGACTTTATCAAAGACAAGTTACTGTTCTACTAGGTTAGTGAATTAATTTAAAATATATTTAATATTGCACTTTTGTCAGTACTTAACTTAATGAACTTCTATCTTACAGGGGATCTCTGTATGATTAATGCCACTGTTTTAGAAAACACAAATAAAAAGTAAGTTTTGATTTAGTTTTTAGTAATTCATTTATTCATTACTATTTCTTATAATAGTAATAATTATTATTATATTTGTTAGAAATTGTTTATACAGTGGTGTTCAAGTATAATTAGTTCTACATATTATTCTACCTCAAGGGTGTGTAAATAATAATCAAGTAACTTATCTAACAATATTCATCGAATTATTAACAATACATAAGTTGTTTTTAATACTATTTAATTGATTTGATAATTAATTATTAATATTTATTTGTCAATCATTGCCTAATTAATGCCAATTATAAATGTCACATATCCAAATATCATGTATTGTGGTGAATTATGTCAAATTTATTAATTGATTATTCAAATTATATATAAAATAATATCATTTATTATTATGTATATCTTTGTCACTTAAAAATTATGTTAGAATTGTTTTGATAGGATGTTATAGGGTAGGTTAAACAGATTAACCCCTTTAGGGGCAAACATGTAGATTTGGCTTCATTAAATTAAAAATCATCAAAATAGTAATCGCATATGCTTTAAAATGTTCAGGAGTGTTATAAGTACTGTGAAAAGATACTGAATACATTTAATTTTGCCCTTAGTAGTGATAGTACAGTAATAGATACAGTGCTATTTGTTGTTAGCAATTAAGATGTTTGCCCTTATGATGTAACTCATCTCAACAATACAGTCAGATATCAAGTTCTGCAGCATATGCTGTAAAAATAAGTTTCACCAACACTGAGACCATGCATTACATCCTTCTGTTACAGCCTATCAGAAGTTCACTACAGAATATACACTGCCAATAGATTGCCTCGCAGGGGAGGAAGGGAGTATTTGTCATTGTTGCCAACCCAGTTGCCAAGTGTTCAAGCGAGTTGGCAAACATTTATTTATTTTGTGTTGTCATTAGATATATTATTCATAGATTACTGTGTATACACAAGAGACTATTATTAATAAATGAAACAACATACTTTTGTGAAACAAAAATTTTTACAAAACGATAGTACATATTACTTAAACTAACTCTCCGACTCTATCTTACTAACCCCAGACCCTCAATACATAAGTTATGCCTGGCAGGACTTAAAGCTTTAGCAAGAACATCTGCTGGCATTTCAGTTATTGGCAAATATTGTCAAATAATAATATTATTGTTAACTGTATCTTTTATGAAATGATACCTAATATCAATGTGTTTACTCATTCTATTACAAACATAATTTGCCACCGACTTCTGTGCACTTTGGCTGTCATTATACATTGTTACAGTACAAAGGTTTCCAATAAGTTCATAAAGTAAAGATCTCAAATAAAAAACTGAAACTGAATCAGTCGTGAATAAATTAATTTTTCTGTCTTTTTGATTCTCTAAATATACTTCTTAACTCCTTAAAGTACATTAATACTTCACTTTTTGCTTTTAAAAAATAAACAAATGCCATATGGGAATGGTCATCAACAAAAATCAGAAAATATCTGGGTCCATCAATTGAAGTAGTCTCCATCAGCCTGCAGACATCAGCGTGTATTACACCCAGAGGTTCACTACTCCTTGTACCAGAGTGACCAAATGGCAAACATGACGCTTTCCTTCACAGCTTACGGTGCACATACTTTTGTTGATTATTGACTTATCTGAGTATGATATTCCCGTAACTGCTCCATCCTTCATTTTATTCTGGTCATTTATATTCGAATGGCCCAATATTCTATGCCATACTTTACTGTTAACACTCCAAGTAGATGTAAACAAACATTGTTTATGTTTCATGACCAGCTTGTAATCACCTTCTTCTTGGTTCGCCACAGCAACTAAATTGTTTTTTCTATTGTAAACATAGCAGCACTTCTCTTTAAACTCCACATTGTTCCCATTTTTACTAAGTCGACTAATGGATATCAAGTACGTTGTGAGGTTAGGAACACACAAGACATCTTTCAATGTAATTTCATAGTTCATATTTGCAACTCTGAATAACCGTTATGATTTTCACATTACCTGAACACAATAGAGGCATGTCATTTTAATTTGCTGCTATAATCTCCTTGACACTATTAGAATATGATTCATTTAGTATCTTGTTTACATCCGTCGTCATATGAACGCTTGCACTGCTATCTATATAAGTCATGTTTGTTATAGTTTTCAATCAAAAACATAGGAGAAAAGCTTTATTTTTCTACACTTGCTGTTATTCACTTTCTTTACATTGAGATTTGTATTGATCAAGTTGTTTGCAACGGTAACTTTTTGTTAATTTATTAGTCGATCCTGACATAGACATTCCTTTACTGTATTACTATTATACTCTGCATAGACAATCCACCGCCATGATGATTTTTTTATTAACTGGCTTTACAGCTCTGGGTTCTAGCCCTTCTGAGCCTATCATTTATTTCGGAATCTTCATTTTATATTCTTTTTCTTCACAATATGCTGATGCGTCACATTGCGAAGCCCTTGGGAGATTTTGACGACAGCTCAACCTAGCGGACAGTTGATGACGACAACCATTAAAGTTCATAAGGCGCCCAAGCGAGCGTTCGTCGTTTTTTCTAAAAGTTCACACGCGAGGACACTTAATTCACAAAATTGCATCACTTTTATGAAATTATGTATATGTATGCTCTTATAACACCCACAGAATGATGTAGGGTTGTGGGTCTCTCACGACGTCACTACACCGAAAACTACTAATTCACTTAAATTATTTTCGTCGCATAATGTAGTATCACAGTTAAATTAATCTTTAAATTGTGGTAGTATGGTATTTTGCTTGGGTAAACGCGGCTGACACCTATTTTTTATTCCGTACTGACACTGAAATAACATTTTAAGCTATTGCATAGCTTCTATCGCGAGCCTCGAGCGCGGGGACCGAATCCAGAAATTCCGTAACGAAAAAAACCTCACGCTCCCCACTCCGACGGGCACGGAGGTGTGGCGTTGAAAGCCGTGCATCGTCTAACGTCGTTTCAGTTCGGCAGACTTCGGCACTCGGCAGACTTCGGCACGGTGTTTGTGTGCGTGCGACTAGTCGTATACGTGTACACTAGCTGCTAACTGAATGATAAAAATTCCTGAATAACCTACATGTATTGTAAGATATTAAAAATATTTTAAACAATATTAACTTCTCATTTATACAATAAGAGAAAAAAAATTGTTTTCTTATCGGTCACCGCGCTCAAAAAGTGTAACTTGATTTAATATCAAAGACTTAACTGCATAAATAAAATAAATAATTAATTATAATTGCATAAGTTGATAAAAAATGCTATGCAATAGCTTTACCGCGGCAGTCCCCGAGTGCCACACGTCTTTTTTTATCACAATAGGTTCGTCTATAACAGAGTTCCCCAAACTTTTTGTGTCGTAGACACTTTGCCATGTTTTTCCGTGTTGGGTAGACCCCTACTTACCTAATATTGATTTCCCGTAAATTTCTAACTGTAGTGAAGTTTAGTGTTAAAAACTTAAAGTAAAAACACATGTTAATTTATACATTTATTAATTAAATTTAATTTAAAACTACTCAAAATAAAATTTTGTATCTGTTATGTAAAATATACGTAGCATTAAATAAACATAAAATAAAATATAAATAAAATAGCATAAGCAATAAGTCAATACGTTTTGTGAGAAGGATGAACCTGATGCTTTAATAATAAATTATCAACATTTGGCGTCAATTTTGTAAGGGTTAATCTTAAATCTCCTCGGCTAATGATGTCCAGTCTGTTTCTTTTTTTTCGTTAGGAGATTGGTAACATCGCTGAACCCCCTTTCCACTAGGTATGACAATGGAAAGGAAATTAAAAATTTCATCGCTATATTCCATAATACGGGATAAGTAACGGGTATGTTGTTTTGGAGCCAGAATTCGTTCGAAACGTCGTCTTCCTGGCAGCTTGTCTGTGACAAATTGGGGAAATGAGAAAATTCGCCCCGTCCATTATTTTGCTTCATTAGTTTAACGCTGATCAGATGGACTTTGTTTTAATCAAATTTAAACTGTCGCCTTGTTATTGTAAATTAACCATATTAAATTTTGTAAACAAATCTGTTAAATAGGCGATGTCTGTTTTCCTCTTTATTAAATTTTCTTTTAAAATTTTATCTTTAGTATCCAAAATTCTAAAATAGTCTCAAAAAGTGCAAAACATCTTGTCAAACATAAGCCTTTCGACGGCCAGCGTACTTCAGTGTGAAGGAGTAATTGATGAAAGTGTTCGTCATTTTCTTCACACAACTGCGCAAATAACCGCATATTTAACGCGTTGCTTCGGATTCGGTTTACTGCATCAATGACTAAATGAGGTGATTCATGCAATCTAACACTCAAATTTTTAACAACTAAATGTTGTCGATGGATGACGCAATGTATTGCTAACACCCCTGACACATTTTGTTTTAAATAGCTTATAAATCCACGATAACGCCCAACCATGGCAGGTGCTCCATCTGTAGCTACTGATATTATATTTAATAAAGGAATTGCTTTTTCAATGAAGTAATCCTTCAAAACATGAAATATTGATTCACCTTTAGTGTCGGTTATCAAAGTACTTGCGAAGAGTAGTTCTTCGTAGATTTCTTGATTCATAATAAAACGAACATATGCCAATAATAATGCTGCATTATCAGGTAAAGTTGACTCGTCCAGTTGTATAGAGAAATGGGTCGGTGCAAATAATTACATAAGAAGCTTTCAACATCAGAACTCATTTCATCAATACGTCTTTCAACGTTATTGTTGCTTAAGGGAATTATTTTAATGATATCAGATGCAGGTTTGTGTAAAACAGTTTTTAAAACCTCTTCAACTGCTGGAAAAATTTACTTCTCTCCGATAGTATGCGGTTTTCCGGATTTTGATATAAGTAACGAGATATTGTAAGACACCCGCAAACCATCCTCATTTCTTTGTGACGTCGAATCGAACATTGTGTCCAGTGTAGGTCTCTTCTGAAGTTTATCTTTGAGTGTTTGAAAGTATTTCAAATCATTCTCTGTTCTATCAGGGTGGCATCTTCTCAGATGATCTTGCAGTTTAGATGGTTTCATAGCGTCATTGCCCAAAACTTTGTTGCATAAAAGGCATATAGGCAATTGTTTGTCCGGCAATGATGGAATGAAGCCAAATTTCAAATAATTCACACTGTACTGTCTACATTTCTTTTTAGATTCGGACATGGCATCAGTCACCTGTGGGCAAAATTAAATTATTTAAATAAGACAGAAAATCCAGCAGCTGTATATTAAAAATATTTTTTGATTTTTCCGAAAACATTCTATAATTCGAACATCTTCTTGCAACAATTAGCTCGAATTACGGAGATTGCACTGTAATTATAATACCGATTGCTAAAACTTTCAAAAAGAAACTATTGAGGAGTACTCGTGTAATTTTGCATGATTGAATATTAAACTACTAATAACTAGAGTCATGATTGGCGTAATTTATCTATCTTTGCTAACTACGAGTACAAAACTAAAATTTAATAAAAAATAATGTACTTACTTTTCTCCAGCACTCTCAAACAAAATAACACCGACTCACTATAATTTGTGTGATATACTATCTGTTTATATTTTTTTAAATGTTTTCTTAGCACTTTCCTTTTCAAGATTTAGGAAACGAATAAACGTATTTGTCCCACATTCGTATTTATAGAGTGACGAATTGAACAAGTCAGTGCAAGGTAGCGAAGCTCTGAGACTGCGACTCTCAGGTTTTTACAAGTTCAAAATGTATTGCGACCACAAAGCGATAAATACCAACATCCTACAACTTACACAATTTTATAAACATATATAATAATTTTTTTACTTCATAGGTACTTTTATAAATAATGTATATGTTTTGATATTATAAGATAGTATGATGTAAGTAAATAGGTACTATCAGTGTATGTGTTGAGATCCACTATCGTGGACCCCTATTTTCATTTCATGGACCCCCAATTTTTTTTTCGCTGGCGTAGACCCCTTGCAGGTTGTCATAGAGCCCTAGGGTCGATCTAGACCACTTTGGGAATCACTGGTCTATAACAATAATTTCAATCTATAAATTCAATAAGAGATTTATATAATAAAATTTTATTTTATGTAAATTTCTTGAACTTATTACGATTATTAAGTTTTTTTTAAGGATTTAACACGTGACTCGGGCTCGTTACAACAATTATTCGGTTTCACAAGATCTATCGCTACATTTGCGGCGCCCTCTCCTCTCTCTCTTGGCCTGCGGTGTTTAGTCAGAACTAGCGGACATCCGGCGTTTGCTGCCACGCTAAAAAAGAAATACATTTTGTTTATTTGTTGGAAAAGAAGGAAATTTTGTATATTTATTAACTTTTTTATATAGTGCCTAATGCATTGTTTTAGTGGTTTAAAACCAACTTCGCATTATTGCCTCTCTAATGAAACCGGTTTGGAGCAAATCGGTTACATGATTTACTAATATAGCTGTAGTAAGAGGTGATAAAGGGAATTGAAACAGAAGGCCATCTTCTTTAGAACAACTAAAAATATTTAGAAAGTAACTACGGCTAGCAACTTGCCTGAAAGCGTGTCAAGTTTAGTAAATATCCACCATATGGGACTATCTATGTTCAAGATTGGATTTATTAGCTATAACAAATATATATATATATATATAAATGAAAAGAAATTCTTTAAATTCTGGTTAAACCGCATTAAGTGCTTTCAAATTCCTGTGCGAATACTGCGCTAATAACCAACTTCGTTTTCTACTATAGATGGATATTACATGACGCACCCATATATACGGAGAATGTCCAGCGTCCGAGACTTCAAATAATACTACAAGAAGAGCCAGAAAATGTTGAAGACGAAGAAGATGAAGAAGATGAAGAAGACGAAGAAGACGTAGAAGATGAAGAAGACGAAGAAAATGTTGAAGAATTATTACAGGTATGTTAATATGCGTTACTTTTTATAACTACAAGCTTAAGCCACACCAAAAGCTTAAGGCGCCGACTGTTACCGAAAATCCATCTAAAAACGAAGAATTCAAAATTTATGGACTCGTGAATAACACTTTCAAAAAAAAGGCATAGGAATTTATAGGGGAGCCAGATTGAGTAACCAAAATTTCTGGACAATATTCTCAAATTAGTGGACAATAGGATATTTGGTAAATTAGAATAAATTATAGTATGAATCAACAGAAACACTTATGACATGATGGGCGCACTCCTGTTCGCCGGTACGATCCCTTCGTTTTTCCACTGGACAGATGCGGGTGTAGATTTACGCTTGGCTTTCTAACTAACACAGGCTTAAGTTCTACAACACGTAAAATTGTCTCGTCATATCGACGTATTTGTTTGTTTTTATGTTTTACATTTGAGGTGAAACCTACGGACTGCTCCCAGCCATTCTCCCGCAAGATGGCGCTGAAGTCAACATTTTTAGTTTATTTGGGTTTTTGTGTAATTGGAAAATTATTAAGTCGTAAGAGTAGACTGCGGTTATCGAATATTACATTTTATTGGAATGGGTCATATTATTGCCACAAAATCCACCTAATTCGACACAAAGCTTGATTATAACATCTGCCATTGAATATAGTGTCGTTTAGACACACAGACGTATTCCTACGTTTACGAAGCTTGAACACTAGATGGCGTGTATGTAAAAAAACAAGTTTTTAATTTTTCTGTATGTGTAGATTGGGTAGGCAGAACTACAAAACGCTATTTACGATTGTTATAAAAATAAAAGTTATATTTGTTGGCGTAAACTATTTAATTGATTTATAACTGGGAAATAAATTATGTCAACATTGATTACAATATAACGCAGTTTTATTTTATTTCTTTACACTATTGAATTTTTTTTATCAAAACAGAAGTACTTATTTGAACCAACATGCCTATTCACTCAAAACTAATAACACTGACGATTTGTAACAGTACCAATTATTACAATAATTAGACATTTCATAATCAACACGTAAGAAACTATAATTCATAAACAAGAGATAACAACAAATCTATAACACTATTTATTTTGTGATAATAATTAATAACTAGGAATGAGAAAATTATATTTCCTAATTTCGAAGCACTCAACAAAAGCTTTTAGTAAAACAAAAATATAATTATACAATATATATACAAATCTTCCTTCAATTCTATATGAATTGGGTTGCGTTCGGAACACAAGATCTAGAAGACTAAAATGTACAAAAATTTACATATCTTTTTATTTCAATGTTTCTTTATTTTTTATTAATTTATTCCTGATAGAATTGGCCGACGAATAAGAAAAATATAACTCAGATTAGAATAAGCTATTTATTTATAAACAATGAAGCACGAAACAGAAAAAAAGGATTTTATGTAACTGAATTATTATGTTTGTTTCTGAACGCACCATAACCGTGAACTTGAGCTCTACGAAATATAGCAAACTAATAATGTGTGTCTGTCTGAAACTGTTTGCAAAATGCGTAAAAGGTGCTTAATGTAACCCGGCAAAACCATATTTAGCAAATGTTTGCAAGTTTAATTTTGTGACTACTTTGGTAGTTTACCGATTTATAATAATTATATTTATTGCTGACCAAAAACATTCAAACACATTCCTATATGAAACATTGACACGTATGACGTAGGTAATCAGTATTCAGAAAAATCACGGGCCAGCCTGTTGTTTCTAATACCACCGATAATTGCGTTTTTAGAATAATTAATTACTATATCTACGATAAATTACATCTTAAATGTATACTAGAGAATTATTGCAATTTGAATCAATGAAAACATGCATATAAAATATGTATAATAAAATATAATACACAAGAAATTCCGGGCGCAAATCTTAGCACGTGACAACCGAAATCAGATTAACGGTTGGAAAGGAAATTATCCAATTATTGAACTTTGATTTATCAGAATTATTTAAGATCACTTGCATGCCATCTACTACTAAAGAAGTGTCAAATTTTTCCGCGATTTCATTATTGTTTTCTCAGTAAAATGTTAGTGCCTATAAAGGTCAAACGCGTACACATTTCATTGTAGAGAAGTGATAAAATGATTAGGTTTAAAGAAAGAGTGTCTGTGTTTATTGTATAATTTGATTAAAAAATGTTTGAATGGACGGCCGGCGCTTCCACCTTAAGACGAAAATACAATAATCATGGAAAAGTCACATTTTAAATTCATCCAATCTCAAAAATAAGATACATAAAAGAAACATATTATATCACATTTTAAAAGTTGAAATTGGACACCAAAAATATTTCAACTACTTTCGTATGAATGAGGATCCATTTCATAACTTCACAAGTCAATTTCGAGCTAACGAGTATCAACGAGTCACTTCTACCTCGGCTCACGCACACGCACATGCACAAGACTACAATACGTACACAGTACACATGCAGTTTTACCGGGTGGCATCGAGCGGGAAGCTTGCTGTCCCGGCGCCGGCAACAGCACCGGCGGGAGTCATTATCGTACCGATACCGGCGCCGGTAAATGGAAACACATGCCTGCACATGTCATACATACTGGCTGGGCCAGTGTCGGGGCCGGTGCCGTGCCGATGAATAGAAAAGTGCCATTAGCGCTACGATCAACTTCGATTCACGCAAGTGGCGGTCTGCACTGGCCAGCAATGGTACCAGTCATAGACTCATGAGCACGTGATGCGATGACGAGGCGTAGCGTGCTTTCATTTTTAGCGGGTTATTTTGTCCAAAACCATGACGTTGAACAGTCCAGCCAAATCCCAGCCATATGGCAACCCTACATACTAGCCTGGAAATCCTGAGTCTATGACTGCCATGTTCTTAAAATTCTGAAGTAGAGGAAGAAAAAGATACTGTACTTGTTTTAAAAATTATAATATATTTGTTTTTATATTTTTTATTTGCTGAGAAACTTTCCTTTTTATTATTGTGGATCGAGAGTGAAAAAGCGATGTCCGTTTACATACCTTCGAAATATATTTAATTTACAACCCGTCCCGTTTCCGCATGGCTAGCAACTAAACCCAAGTGTCTCCGGCTGGATGAATTAACGGCCGACTTCCTGCGTAGCGATCCTAGATTCGATTCACATGAAATTACCCTTTTTTGGAACCTATTAAGGCCGTTCAAGCTGCGCATTTGAACCACGACATTACGTCCGTATCTATAAACGCCGTCAATACGAGGTATTTGAAGGAGGCTGTGAAACGTCTCAAACCGCGTTCATCCAGTGAGCCTGATGGCATCCCTGGGTTCTTGGCTAAATATTGTATAGCTGTACTGGAGGGGCCTCTCATGCATCTCTATAACCTTTCACTAACTAATGCTAGGTACCCTCAAATTTGGAAACGTTCCACTGTTACTTCAGTACCGTAAGGGGACGGGAGTATGAACGTGTCAGAATTTAGACCAATTTCTTTCTTATCAGTGTTTGTTAAAATATTTGAGTCTATTCTCTGCAAACGTTTACATGGTAGAGCCATGCTGCAGTTATATTAGTAGTATAGTTGTAGCACGAATGGATCGACTCGACCGGGGAAGGACCACGCTCTCACAGAATACCAGCGTCAAATAGTAGCTTAATGCTGCTGTGTTTCGTATGGTGAGTGTAGAGAACCGGAGACCCTTTTTACTGGAAACGAGGCATTTCATCTAAGTCCTCACGGATAACAACGCATTTGCATTTTGATTCGAAATCGAAGATAAATGTAGATGTCTATGGGCCACAACAACCACTTACCATCAGGTGGACTATGTGCTCGTTTGTCATCCTATCGTATAAAAACCATTAATAATCAGGTTGGCCATTTGTTACACAATACCCAACACGGTTTCCGTAAGGCTCGTTCTACTACTACGAACTTATTTGCTCATATAAACTACATATATAAGGAGATGGATAATTACAAACAAGTAGACACGGCATACTTCGATTTCAGAAAGGCCTCCGACCTCTTCGACAACGACAAACTGTTAGAAAAGTTGGCATTTATTGGCTTTACTTCCAAACTCATTTGGTTTTCGCGTGCTTTCCGTATAATCGATGTCAGTATGTGCGGGTGAACGGGTATAATTCAAGCAATTACTTCACGAGATCAGGCGTTAGTCAGGGCAGTACGTTGGGTCCAACCTTCTTCCTGCTCTTTATAAATGATCTGCCGAACACCGTTTGTTTTTCTGAATGTCTCCTCTTTGCTGATGACTCAGTCATTGAATCTGAATCAGATACCATACATCCGCAAAGAGACATTGATGCGGTGTTGAATCGGAACCAAGAAAATCTATTACTTTTAAATAATAATAAATGCAAAATAATTACTTTTACTCGAAAACCTAGACCAATCGTATATAGCTTACTTGACGCTCCTCTGGAAAGAGTAAATAATATACGAGACTTATGGCTGTTATTAGATTCTCAATTAGACTTTCATCTTCACATGACAAGTATCTGTAAGAACGCACATAGAATGTTAGGGTTTGTTATTGGTACTGGAACACAATTTGACAATAAAGTAGTTGCTAAAATAATGTTTAACGCATTTGTTCGTAGCAAGTTGGAATATGGTGCTGTTGTCTGGGACCCATTTGAGGACAAATATGTCCTTATGGTCGAGAAGATACAGCGTAAGTTTCCCCGATGGTGCTGGTAATCGAAAACAATACGGGTACTATCCTCACCTGTATTATTTTTTGTTCGTATGAGGCATGTTTGGTATGGAAACTCTGAAATTTAGGAGGGTTATGCTAATGCTGACACATTATATCTCTATACTGTATCATAAGATCGATATTCCGCAGATACTAGAGAGTGTACGCATCTTAGTTCCCCGTAATATACGACAGGAGACAGGGCTGCAGCTAGCACCGCGCCGCCGGCCTCGTTCGCTAGCGCGCCCTGTCGCGCACACGAATGATTGGTAACATACTTGCTCAGTACGATGATCTTGACCTATTTGCTGATGGATTGAGTAAACTTATAAGTAATTAAGGAATATTTTAACTGACATTGTATAATTTTTAACACTGACATTTATTATTATTATTACTATTTTAATGATGTGTACTAATATTTTGTTTGACTATTTTGGCCTTTTTTGTTTTATTAATTTGACTATTTTCTTTTTATATTTTTTTATTTATTCTGCAACTATTTTAACTTTATTTTTATATTAATTTAATGCGTATTATTTGGTAATTAATGTTATTTGTTTTAATTGAATAGGATACTTAAAATAGATAATTTTAACTTAATATATCTAATATTACAAGCGTGTTGGATGCTACCATCTGTTATCTTGTAAGCATGTATCTTATAAATAAATAAAATAGTTTTGACTCTTATTCTTCATATAAATATTTACTTTAAATGACATAATATATAATATAGTCAACTGAGGTATAATTTTATAAAGAGATTCTAACATAAACCTTACGACCGCGTAAATCTTTGATCTAAGTTCCTATAAAAACCTTAATTTACAACTTTTGGACATCCGCAGTCACGTCCATTAAATAGTTTTGAGTCTTCCAAATTAAACAATTTTGAGCCAAACATAACGCAAAAATGAAGTTAATTCTATAGAGCTTGGCATTCAGACTCCAAGTCGTTTATAGGCGAAGATAACCGTAGGTACCGAACTTGGCCCCTTTGTACATGTGGGTGTGGGGTGTAATTCCCACACTTGATGATAGATGATAATATAAATTTTGCAACGATATGATATATATTTCATATGATATTATGATGGTAAAGTTAACTCGCCGAGTACTGGCGCGTAACAGTGCAATGTTATAAGTTAACAAAATGAAATACATATAAGTGGTTGTGAAATATGTAAATACGTTTCACCGTACAGTGGGATATCATTAACTTTTAAAAGCTTTTCCTTTTATTAATCTAAACAAATATATGATCTCCAACGTTTGTCTTGTGTTTACACTTCAATGTATTCTTTTTTATTTTAAACTACATGAATTAAATGTCGACAAATAGGTAGTTGAAACTAACCGCACCATTAACTTGACACCGAATATCGATTTTTTTCCTTTGTTTAAGCCTAATTGTTATTGATGCCAAATGTGTGCGTATATATATATATATATATATATATATATATATAATATATATATATATATATATAAATATATATATATACAACATGTAACATAATTAACGCACTTTGAGAAAGAAGTTTGTTCAGAATCGTTTACTGAATAATCGATTCCTATCATTTTTAATATAGATAATTTTTTATCCCAAAAATAATTAAAAGTACGTAAATTACAGTCGCACTAAATCTGTACAGTCTAAACAAACCGAAACGGACCGTAACTTAAGGCAATAAGACTTTTAAGAGTGCAGTTTTATTTGTATTATTACTAATTCTGTAATTCAATAAAAATATAGAAAAATGAACTTTATTTCAAGCACGTTAAAGTGTTGATTTGGATTTGTACTGTGACCACAACATTCTTCCGGAATTAGTATAACTAATTTGATAATCTCAGGAAATATATGTGTAGGATTATTTATGAATTCGCAATTATTTGACATACTTACCTTTGTCTTAATGTTTTTGCATAGTAGTAAACCTTTAATTTAAAATTTATTTTCAGAATAGCAACAATGTAGTGGCTAACATTGATGAAATAACGCTTAAGGAACCGACAATGCCTGAAGTTATGTTACTAAATGTAAGTTATGATATATATTTTTTAAATTATAATTTAAGGTTTAGTTTAAGTTTAGCTTTAAAAATTTTTTTTTTAAATTTGACGTCACTTAAAAATAATATTGAAAATATTGTATTTATTTATTTTTATTCTACATTATTATTCTACATTGATATCTCAATGTAATTACTAAAAACTACCTCATGCATATTTTGTAGATAGTAGTTTGCCTCAATTTGGAGCTCTATATCATTTTAAAGCACAGTAAAGTCACAGCCTACATACATGCTACTGCTGGGTACAAGTCTCCTCTCATTTCTGAGAGGGTTTTAGGGAAAGGAAAACTCCACCGCGCCGCCCCCATAGTGTGAGAATCAGATGGCTTCGTATTATTATTTAATATTTTCTCAGAGACATGCACGTCACGATTTTTACCTTCATCGCCGAGTATGTGAGAAACTCTTAAAGTAACAAGTAATAACTTACACATTTTTAATCTTAGGATGATTTCGGCGAGCTTCACATCGATCAACAGATCGCTGATCGTACGATGGAGCTGATGATGCAAGGCGACGTATCTGAGATAGATCATAGCGTGATCGACCTTCCCGCAGACTTCTCCGCCGAGAAGTCGGAATACAAGTCGGAGCCAGCCACTCACGACGCGCAGATGGAAACTACATCGGTGCACGATGTCGCCATGTATCGCAAGTGTAAGTAACAACCTCCGACCAAAAAAGTAAGATAGACGGAACGCTGCGTACATTGTTAGTGATGCCAAAACTATGCTTAACTTCTCAACACGCGTACACACACATACATCTTTATTCCTTTTTTCTTCATCAGTAAGTAAATATTGCACACACACATACCCTGAAACAATGTGGTTTGCAAATTATTTTAGATGTATTTTAGTTTTGTTTTATATAATAATGGAAACAAACGAGCACACAACCACCTGATGGTAAGTGGTTGCTGTGGCCTATAGACATCTACATCTATCCTTGTGTGCGATTCAAAATGTAGATGCGTTCCTGTAAAAAGGATCTCCGGTTCCCTACACTCACCATACGAAACACAGCTGCATAGAGCTGCCCCGGTCGAGTCGACCCATTCGTGCTACAACCACAATATAGCTACAGCCTGGCGTTACCACGTGTAGAAACGTGTACGCGAGTGCGATTTTTTTTTTGTTTACTGAAAGTGGCGGTGTTAGAATATCCACTACCCCACTATCATCCCAGGGGTCTCGTAAGAAGCGGCAGAGAGAAAAAATCAGGAGATCAGCGACTTCCTAATAACGGCTAAAAATAAAAAAGAACTGCAGTTCGCAATCCGCTTGCCAATGGTGGCAACTATGGCAAATATTCCTCCGCTGAGGCAATCTTAGGGGGAGTTCTGTGTTCAGCAGTGGGCCTTAATAGACTGTAACGAGTTTCCGTTGCAGCCTATATTTAAAGTCCACGGTAGCATCGCGCCCTTATAATATGTTGGCATGGGTTTGACTGGCTTTTGCGACACTGGAAATGTTGTGTTGAACCAACTATTTTCTTCTTAATTTTTTACGTGATAGAGATACAGCTGTATTAAAGACTCCCTTGGAAATAGATTAGCAGCGTAATGCTGCTGTTTCGTATGGTGTGCGTAGAGAACAGGAGACTCATTTTATTGGCAACGACGCATTCCATCTTAGTCCGGATTTTGAGTCTCTTTTGAAGGCAAGAAGTAGGTGGAGAAATAAAATATATTCGAGGACACGAGAAGTTAAGAAGAGAAGAGAGAAAAAAACCAGCACTAAATCTCAGTAATTTAAATTTGAATAGAATTTGAATGAAACGAATTTAAAAGTAATATCGTGTTCAATATAAATTTATTTTTGAATTCCTAGCGTTTGAAAAAAACTGCAACGTCCTCCCGCGAACAAGGATATTAGCATTAAATGATATAATTATGTTCCTTACTCTGTTAAAAACTTTTTATTCCACAGCCGTTGGAACCGAGCTCGTTGCAGTTGGCGATTTTGAAAAAGGCATGTATGAAATTTACAGCGTTAATGTGATATTGTTTTTTTTGAATTTATTGATATAACAATAATAGTAATAATCACACAGAAATCCCTGAAGATCCTGAAATTCCTAGAGATCCTGAAATCCCTGAAGATCCTGAAATTACTGAAGATTCTGAAATCTCTGTAGATTCTGACCCTGAAGATCCTGAAATCTCTGAATATCCTGAAATCCCTGAAGATCCTGAAATCTCTGAAGATCCTGAAATCCCAATCCTGAAACTCTAATCCTATCCCTGGTCCTGCCTGAAATTCCTCTTCCTGTCTTGATTACTCCTCATCCGAATGCGTTAGTATTTTTTCAAAATAATTAATTACTTGTAATCATTATGGTAACTTTTTTTTGTTTATCTAATTTTTATATTATCTAAAGTATGGTAAGTTTCTTTTAATTTTCTTATGGAGGCAATTGGCCACATTAAAATATATTTATTTCACTGCAGGCAAACTGTGGAACAGAAAGCCGTCATTGTTCCGACTGAGGCTACCGTGGGAGAGCCGGCTGAAGGATTTGTCTTGGAGGTAATATTAAACCTGGCGAGTAGAAATTGAAAACGTCAGTGTACTACTATTATCTGATGGTTTTTGGTTCGAATCCTAAATCTCATTTAGTGATTACAATAAATAAATTTTTCTTAATCGTTTTAGGAAACTATGGACGGCATGTTCTTGAAGTAGTTAATTAAAACCTGGCCGGTCACATAGTGTAGCCCACAAGACAATGTATAATTAGTGTTAGATGTAAAATAAGGGATTCGTTTTTTTAAAGTCACTATACCAGCAATACGACTCCTCATTAAAACTCTCCTGCATTACAAGATCAACAGACCTCCAACTTGGTTACCGTGAAATCATTGGGGAGGGTGTAGGGTCGAGCCTAATCTCAAGTGGGAGAGATGAGGGGTTTTGGTAAATGTCACGTACTTTTTTTCCGCGAGAAGCAGTGTAAAATTACGAGAAAACCCCGTGGACTGAATTAGACTGAACTTACGAATTTTAGTAGTTCCTACTTAAGCACTTTATTGCTTTTATTTTGATTCTTTCGAAAAAGCGCCAAAATCACCTCTCAAAATTAATGGACGCCACCTAACATATAATAATTAGAATAATTTTCGAAACTACGATAATTTATTTAGGAATTGTCGACGGTTATTTATAGTTTTATTTCGGATATCCGATGATTTTTTTACGGTTACGGAATTTCATCACTTCTCTGAAAAGTAGAAGAAAGGGATTCTTGCCTATCAGCCCGTCTCATCAGGCACCAAGCATGTTGTTTTGGGTTAGGTGTGTTCCGGCCTGAAGAGCTACGTCTGATATATATTTAAATGTGGGCGTGGAAGGAAAAGGGGAGATCTCCCGCCGGGCAAGGTGTTCTGCCCGGGGAGCGGCCAACAGTCCGTGTGTTAGTTCGGAGATGTTCTATATATACTGTTTATGATTAGGAATGTTGATAGCGCGATTTAGGCTTCGGTGTGTTTCGCTTGTGGCGCGACGACAGCGCCGCTACATAAAGAAAGGCATATAAAATATAAATGCAGGCTGTGAGTCATTCCGTCTTAGTTAGGTGTGTTCTGGCCTGAAGAGCTACATCTGACAATAATATTATAAAGAAAGGCAGTATAAAATATAAATGCAGGCTGTGAGTCATTCCGTCTTAGTTAGGTGTGTTCTGGCCTGAAGAGCTACATCTGATACCAATATTATAAAGAAAGGCATATAAAATACAAATGCAGGCTGTGAGTCATTCCGTCTTAGTTAGGTGTGTTCTGGCCTGAAGAGCTACATCTGACAATAATATTATAAAGAAAGGCAGTATAAAATACAAATGCAGGCTGTGAGTCATTCCGTCTTAGTTAGGTGTGTTCTGGCCTGAAGAGCTACATCTGATACTAATATTATAAAGAAAGGCAGTATAAAATATAAATGCAGGCTGTGAGTCATTCCGTCTTAGTTAGGTGTGTTCTGGCCTGAAGAGCTACATCTCACAATAATATTATAAAGAAAGGCATATAAAATACAAATGCAGGCTGTGAGTCATTCCGTCTTAGTTAGGTGTGTTCTGGCCTGAAGAGCTACATCTCATACTAATATTATAAAGAAAGGCAGTATAAAATATAAATGCGGGCTGTGAGTCATTCCGTCTTAGTTAGGTGTGTTCTGGTCTGAAGAGCTACATCTGACAATAATATTATAAAGAAAGGCAGTATAAAATATAAATGCAGGCTGTGAGTCATTCCGTCTTAGTTAGGTGTGTTCTGGCCTGAAGAGCTACATCTGACAATAATATTATAAAGAAAGGCAGTATAAAATACAAATGCAGGCTGTGAGTCATTCCGTCTTAGTTAGGTGTGTTCTGGTCTGAAGAGCTACATCTGATACTAATATTATAAAGAAAGGCAGTATAAAATATAAATGCAGGCTGTGAGTCATACCGTCTTAGTACTCAGAGGTGATAACGCATTTGTAGCTTTCTTTGTTTGAAGTTAGTTACAGGTGTTAGATAAGTTCGATTATCACTTCAACTTTATTTTAAAAAACCGTTCCATTAATTTTACAATACGACGTATGCTTATTATGCAGGAGCTGGAAGATGTGGAGCCGCAAGTGAAACGGCGACGTCAACAGAAGCTCATCATCGACAAGAAGACCGAGCTGAGCACAGAGTACATGCGCGTCAGGATTGACGATATATCCGTCCAATTACGATGCCAAGTATTTTGTTTTTTATCTCTAGCAATGTTTCCGAACCACTATTGTGCGAATTAACAAAACTGAGTAATTCGATTAAATTTATTTTAATGTATATTACTAGCAGCGATATCTTTCGAATAATTTCAATAACATTGAAGTAAATAACTTTCTTTTATAAATTGACATATGCGATTCGCCTCGAAAACTTCATGTGTTTGTGTTTTTTCATGGTCGATATCGTAACTATGTGAGCAGATTATTTGCCGAAAATTACGGCCTTAGGAAGGTGAAGTCTTTATTTAGTGCACTACAGAGCAATATTACAATTTTTAATGACGGTTTTATAGAGCAAAGACAATCCCTCCATAGCGGTATACGAAAGTATGCTCCTGACTTATCTTTCACGTCGACGACAACCATTGTTCTAAGCTAAATATTTAAGCGTTAATATAACTATATATGTATAGTTATAATAACGCTAGTTATATAATAATAATAATAATAATAATATATAATAAAATATGTAATAATAGTAATAATAATCTTGAAGATTAATATTTAAAAAAATTATATTTACCAAAACTGACCACTTTAATGTAATTTTGCCATATCATAACATATCTATTTCAATTATTTTATCAATATACAAGTAATGTTAAATATCCAAAAAAATTAGCACATTTTATTTAGTGAATTATTTTGTATGATTATTTTAAAAATACTACGTCGTCCGATCAGTACACTGCAGATCCGCTCGTGTTCGCGTTCCTTCACACCGACGGCGTAAAGATTCACTAAAAACACACTATAGTTAACCAAATCTAAGAAATACATTTTGACAGCTGTCAGATTAATTGCACCAAGCATGCCAACCAAAAAATGGGAACGTACAATATTCGATTCTTTAAAAAATCGATATCGATTATTTATAGTTGGTAATCATTTACAGTTTGGTTTGAAAAATACCAAAATAAATTAAAAACAAATAATTTAAAACATAAGATTTATCAGTTTTCTTCGTATTTGTTGTTACTGCTTAATTTTAGAGGCACAGTTACAAAAATTTAAGATTCAAACTAAATTTATTCTGTCACTTTCGGTACAACTAGTTGAGCTGTCGTTGTTTAGATTAATTATTATTTGATTTTCAATAATGGAGTCAAAATTAATGTCTCTTTCAAAGTCATCCATAACATTTTTTTTGTTTTTTCTACCACTTTTGCCCAATGATCCTTTGTGACATATGCACATACTTCAAAGAATATAGAAGAACAGCCCAAAAAGTTAAAGCTGAGTCACAAAATAAGAAAACAAACACAAAATTACGCACAGTAATCTCCCGAAATGGCGGGATATTGAAATTACGTACTTGGTAGTATTTGAGCACGGCCTTGTATATTAGTTTTTTGCCTACTCAAATTCACGTTTACAAAGTAAAAAAATAAACTTGTTTTATTCGTGATTCATGTAATAATAGGAATATTAAAAATAAAAATTAAATTAAACGAATAACACGGTAAGAAATTAATGATTCGATTATTTGAATATTTTACCGATTACTTAAATATTTTTGCCGATTATTTGCATAACAATGAATTTTAATCCTCCAAACACCGGTAATGTACATAGCTGTATATCATTGAAACGAAGTTAAGTGAAAAAAAGTTGATACTGGTTATTTTTTTATATTTTGCTTCGTTTATAAGATTCAAATTTAAAAAAAAATATACACGTTATAATGAAATATACTCATTGAAGTAATATGTACTTACGTACTAGAACAGCTATCTCAAACAAAAAATGTGTGCTACTCTGTGTTCGCGCCGTTGTTTTTTATCATAGAATAAACATAGGTAGAATGACCCGTAGGTAATAGTAGATTGTATTGTTAAATTGGTAAATTTTATCGAGAACAATATTTAAATTTTGTCATTCATTTTGTATGTTATATTTGCTTATTTAATATAATATTACATAATATTAAATCACAATTTCATTTCAATGATATTTTTAAGTGAATATTTTAAAAGGTATCTAAGGTATATATGAAAAATTTAGCCTAATAACAATAACTTATATATGTTTCTACAAAAAATGTGAATAATAATATATTCGTCCTATAGTAAGTACCTACAGAAATGTCGCATCTGAACATATTAATTTTATAATCTATATTCAATGACACGAGATGGCGTCTTAGGAATAATTTGTTTTATTATTAATTCTTAATACATTTTTTATTGATTAAGTATCTTATTAACAGATGAAAAGTAATTCCTTGGTTTTTACTGTCATTTTTTGAATTATTTGTACAATATCTAAGTGCACACGACGGCATATTTTTATCAAGAGATTTTTTTAATCAACACAACACGTGACAACTCTATAAGCGCCTAGCGAGTGACTGATTAAAGTGCGGTGTATGCACCGCAGTTGAGTGGAACAGAGTAGCTGAATGCAGTGTCGCCTCTAGTACGTAGTACATAATAGCACAATGAATACAGATAACTTCATAATTCTTCGAATTTACGTAAAAGGTTATTTTAAATCGTGTGAGTACGCTTGTCCAAAGTTATTGTTAAATGATTAATGTGAAACGTCAAAAGGTATTTCTTAGATTTGGTTGACTATAAATAGTCAACATCAAAGTTTTAAACTGCGCGTAGTGTGTTGGCGAGATACACATGTCAATCATGTTGACTCGTTTTGTTTGTCTCACTGCCTGGTGCCACTTGCCCGACACGCTATGCATCGACGTATATACGATAACTTGACGATCATTTATTTTTTCATTCTGTTGCTAGTAATCAGCACAGTACCTAACTTACATGCTGCTATTTAAATTAGTACATTTAGTAAAATGCTAAAGTCTTGTGGGTAAGTTCTTCCACTAGTCATTTTCTTCAATAGGTTGTAAGTACTGTTGTTTACAATAAATAATGTGACATTATACGTCCGATCCAAGGATTTTATCTAGGCCATCAAGCTTTTAGGTAGTATAAGTGTTTAATTACGTGTGAACGTGTACTGTTTATTGTATTGTATGTTACCGTTTTTGAGGGCTTTATGAAGTGCATGTATTGTGAGTTCATAAGATTTATGACTATTTTCAGAATTAGATTAAGATGATTCAGAAAGTTCAGAGTTTGTAACGAAAACTTATTGTTCAATAAGTTCTGATTTACCAAAAAGGAAAAATGCAAACAGACGATTGTGTAGTTTTTCCGATGTTTGTACGAAAAATTATTTGCTCATTTGATGAGTCCCAATTAATATTTATAAAACACATAACGCATTGTGTTAAAAAGACCAGTACAACTAATGGGGACCACATTGGCTACAAAAAAATCTGCTTTTTGCAGCCGTTGTAACTGTCCCCATTATAAAGTCAAATTCCCGATTTTTACCTTCTATCCCGAATTTTGACCCACTTAAATCGGCCACACTAGCGTAAGCCATTAAAATGAATGATACCTACTTTGTTAGATGTTATTATTTATTTAATAATTAATAATTGCATACTTTTATTTAATAGTAAGCGATTTGTAATTATTATATTTATCACTATAGAGATATGTACATAAATAAATTTAGCACTGAGGGCCATTGATTCAAACCCGCATGTAACAAAAATATGTATAATGCTACAAATAGTTGTGTTTGGTCTTTTGTTTGAGTGTTTGTCTTTGTGAAATGTTTGTACTTTTGCTAACTGCCTCCACTACATTCTTAAGAAAAATCGTTTGTATGTAATCGATTCAGATCCAGCCAGCCCAAAAAAGTTTTTTTTTTTGTAGCCGGTAACCTTTTTGCAGTTTATTGTTTTGGCTGTATTTTTATTTCGGGTGTATAATAGTGTATCCAGGTTTTAACTACAGTAAATCATCGGCATCAAAACTCGGATTTATTGTGCCTAAACTGAGCCAACAGAGCGTTGGAAACGTTCATACAAACACGTTTTTGGTCTTACGAGTACGCCTAAATCTGGATTTAATATGTGACAAACTTGTTCTTTGGACATTTCATTAATCATAGTCTTTGCTATCTCTCTCACTTTGATTCGGCGGTCGCCTAGCACCATTTGGTGAACGTCAGCGATGTTATCGTTAGTTACTTGTTCAAGGTATTTCATATACGGCTATTTACAGATACCAATTACTTAACATCATAATACAATTTGTTATCTTAATCATAAGAGAATATTAAATATAACGAGACTTCTACTACATATATCTCGCTTGATTTCCGAGATGTCGATACGCAAAAATCGAATCAGCATGACCCGAATCCAGGTATTCTTGTCTGCCCTACCCCTAGTGTTTTATTAGGGCATAAGCGCGGAGAGAGAGCAGCGCCCTTCCGCTGTAGCAAATAGCAAGCACCAGTGTGAGCCGCAGTGTCTGGGCTGGTCCAATGAACCAAAAATGCGGAGGTGAGCATGGGTGCCTGCTATTTGCTACGCAAGGGCAAAGGGGCTACACTTCCCGCAGCGCCGAAGCTGTTGCAGAAGGAACATTGTAAAAGAAGTTCAATATTCCTGTGTAAAAAAAGTAATTTTAGTGTATCGATATCTCGGAAACTAATCGAGATATCGAAAAAAATATTGTACTTTTCGACGTAACTCGCTGAGATCTATGCTGCGACAGTCTATGCCAACTTGAAATCACGGCGCCATAAGAACCGTTGTCGTGCACATATAACTTCCGTCTACAGTCAAAAATAGTTGGATGTTAAATAGCGTTTAACCTTTTCCATAAATCGAATTAAAAAATTTAAAAATCTAATAACTTAAATTTTAAAACAAAATAACTTAATAATAATATAAAAAACTTACTGCTTAATAAAAATATTGGTAATTAAAATTAACAATAGTAATTATTAAGGAAGATTCTTACTCCAACAAAATATTTTAGGTACTTTTTATTCCAATATGGCGTCGACGGGAATAAAAATACTTGTGGTACCATATATGCGGTTTAAACTTTTCATCACATTCCAATATTAAATACGATACGATAATTTAAAGTACGAGGAGTAAAGGGCTAAGTTTGGGGTGTATTTGCCTGAATATTACAAAAGACCGAAAACACAAATTTATCTATAAAACAAATTCGGTTTAATACATTTTCCAGAAATCTTATACGTTACCAATCTGAAAACTTATATATAAAATAGGAAAGGATATGATGCACACGTTAACAACCTACACACACAAAGACAATCAGTTTTTAGTCTCGTTTGTTGGTTGCAGTTGCCAATCTATGGAGTCTAATACTAAATCTACTTACGCGTGGTACCATACCACTCTATAAATTGTTTCCGTCATTCTGAACTGTCTACGAATTACGTTAAAAAATGTAATAATTCTTATATTTACAAAAAAATATAAATTTTTTATAACCCGCGCCAATAAAGAAAGTCTGTGAACCTACACTTTCAGATGGTAGGGTCAACTAATAAAAAGAAACATAGAAAATGTTGTTTATTAAAACCCAGTTTGTATAAAACTTAGAAATGTATTTTGATGACTTTTCGATGTGAAACTTCACACTGCTATATAAATAACAAGTCTCGCTGACAACACCAATGATCGTCGATTTGTCATTATAAAAAACTATTGTCAGTTTTATGCTACAGGTACTACATAATATCAAAAGACTAAATGCAATGAATCATTATCACCTCTTCAAAATATTTGATAACGTTATACATGGCTTCGCATGCACCACTGTGAATTACCATATTTACCACACACGGCCAATCAAAAAGTCAACAATAACAAAAACAAACAAAATAACAACGATGAAATAACGATCAAATGCAACAAACAACAAGAGAATTCTTCGAGACAGTGTGAGAAAAAAGCCAGGACTGATTATTTTTTTTGCATGCAGTACGAGCCGTGTGCGACTAAAGACAGCAATAGTTTAGAGTGAGAGCGCATGATCGGCGCCGCGATTTATGAATCGTTTCTTTATTCGCGCGGGTTGTATAGGTTTCTTATGTTTTGATTCAAAAGCCGCTTAGGAATAATCCTAATATGAACGTGATTGTCTTAACAAAGAACGAAAACGTTCTTAAATGTATTTATTTGATATTACCTTAAAGTTCTTATATTCATTTATTTCGTAGCTTTTCACAATTTCAGAATTAATTTTGTCTTTGCATATTTAAATGGATATGTACTTCATAATTTATATGGTTATATTAAATACAAAAGTGAAATAATAAGTACAGAACTATGTTTTGGAAAAATAGGATAGTTCGGAGGACGTGGTGAATATCCGGGTACCCGCGCATACTTACCTAAGTCGGCCTGCTCACGCTGGATACCGCTCTAACATGTCACAAGTTTTGTCACGGCTTTTCCTACGCAATCTGAGAGTTTTAAATAGAACGCCGATAGCCGACAGAGAAATGGAGGTAATTTTTTTCATACTTTGTGTTCTAACCAGTAAATAAAGTACCCGTATTTTAAATGTAAAGTTAAGTATTAAAGCAACAGTCTAATGCACGTCGACCACGGTTGTAGGTTATACGCCGCACTGCTATAGTTGATGGCTTTTACGTATCCTCGAAATATCTTATTAATCTGACATGCGAATTTCCTCACGATGTTTTCCTTCGTCGCCGAGCACGTAGTAAATCAGCACTCGACATTGCAATTAACAAGTGCTTAGCCACTGAGCTATCACAGCTCGCGAAAATGGTAAAATATCACAATAACGTGCATTGATTTTCAAAGTATAAAGATTGTTTTGTTCATACAGTAAAAGTGGAGGTTTTCACACAGTCCACGTGATGGTGAGTGGATGCTGTCGCTCATAGACATCTACATTTATCCTCTATTAAAAATCAAAATGCAGATGCGTTGTCACCCTTGAGGACTGAGATGCCTGGTTTCCATTAAAAAGAGTCCCCGGTTCTCATACTCACAATACAAAACATAGCAGCATTAAGCTGCTATTTAACGCCTGTATTTTGTGAGATCGTAGTCCTTCCCTGGTCGTGTCGACCGATTCGTGCTACGGGTATAATATAGCTGAAGCGTGCATCTGCCACGTCTAAAATCTCTTTTTGACGCGTATGTATATTTTCTTATGTGTGTTGCCAGATTTCCTGGAAACTGCTGAATCCATTTAAACGATTCCCTTTCTGTTAATTATAGCTCATCCAATAGGTATAACTGTAGCAGGCTGCAATGGATGGATCATTGCAGCCTGCTACAGTTCACAGCTGAGCACAGGCCTCCGCCGCAGATGTAGGGCGATGTTACCGCACTTGGTCCGCTCAGCGGGCGGGCAGCCAGCCGCAGTTGCTTGTTAGTGCCAGCTGCTGCAGGATGCTGCCCTGCAGCTCCTGTTTCTGTTCCCTCTGTCGCCTTGTGCGACACGGCATCCAATAGGGTGCTCCCGTTTACATTTGACAAAATCATTGAAACCCTAAGCGTGGTAAAAATACGGGCTTCAAATATTTAATTAATTAATTACTTAGACGCCATTCTAGTTGCTACTTTGAGTTTGTTTCGGTCGTGCAAGGAAAAGTGGGAGATCTTCCAACTGGCAAGGGGTTCAGAGCGGCCAATTTTGTACAGAGCTGTTCTATAGAGTAACTGTTGTAACATTTTATTAAACTTTTAATTTTTGTTTTAAATTAATGGGTATAGAACATAACTCATATTTAACGTATAATTTGCGTAGGAAGCAGTGACCGAACCGAGAACAAGACAGACACACACGCAAAGCCAACTAGAAACGATAGGAGAGAAAGTACAACAGCTTCATGCACCGTCTCAGGTTGAAGTGCACATGCAGATGCAAGAAGATGTTACGAATGAGCTTAATGTGGAGCAATTGGACTTGGAGCGGACAGAATTACCAACGCGCGTTGTTGAGACTCTGTCACAGCATGCCTCGAAACAGGCGGATGAGTTTCAAGTTCCTGTGAGTAATATTATTTATATTTATTAGATAGACTAGTTCTACCTTCACTCTAGGCATCTTACATACATAAATTGCACACGAACCCAGACCCAAAATAATTTGTTGACTCTACAAATACTTATACCGTGCGGGAATCGACTCCGCGTCCACAGGCTGGCCAGCAGCGCGCAGCCACGGCGTCAGTAAGATGTCATATACCTTTTTATTTTGTAGGATCAGTAAGCTACTGTCCACTGCAGCAGTGGGCAGTTGCAAGGATCACTCACACTTCCGATGACATTCTGTAATTAGTTGACAGACGAATAGGTAACATCACTACGGTTTTAACGAGACAATTAATAAATGATTTATATTGTGTTAGTTAATTATTATTAAGTATTTAAATAAATGAAACTACTTAGTAGACTTTTTCTACTTAGTAGAACGCAATAGAAGTAAATACAATATATTATGTATTACATTCTACAATAAATGATGCATGCAGACCAACAATGCGACATAGTCCGGCCTCACTGCAACATCACCTTCTCTGCTGGTTCTCAAAAATCTTCCACAACGGACAGCAGCACGACGACAATTGATACCAAAGCCTGCGCAGTTCTTTGTACTGCTTGTACAACGCCCCACCCCTTCCTCACCCTAATTCATTAAACTCATGTTTTCCAAATGTTATTTTATATTTTAGTTTTAGAACTATGATACATATAAGATTCAGACAGCTTTATCCATTACTACAGATGATATTTAGTGGCCTGAAATAAAAACTCGATAGGGTGCTCAAAACACTTGGACCGTAGTACCTCAATGTGAACTCAAATTTTTTTCGACTGACTTTAATACGACAGTACGGCAACACATCACGGTACGTAGTGTATACTACGATTGCACATAGCACTAAATCCACTATTTGACATTTTATATAACTACTAAACCTTGCTTTTTTTTAAATAGATTAAACTTTTCATTTAATCTATTATATAATATTATGTATATATTTGTGTTACACTTATGTTAATAATATGTATTTTCATATAATTTTAATTTTGTACGCTTCACTTCCTCTACGCAAAAGTGGTTTGGAAGAGATCACTTTCAGAGTAATGGGACCGCCTGTTGTACATATTCTACTTTAGATTTAACTGTACTCGTTTTTTTGTATTTTGATGCACAATGTCCATATCACACCTATGCCGGTAGTTGTAGGGAACACTATGCTCGAAGTTGTTGACGAGTACGTTTACCTGGGACAAATAGTTCGACTAGGTAAGTCCAACTTCGACCGAGATGTCAATCGACGGATTCAACTCGGCTGGACAACTTTCGGGAAATTACGCACATCTTCTCGTCACGTATACCTCAATCTCTGAAAACTGGGTTGTATAAACAGTGCATGTTGCCAGTGATGACTTACGGATCTGAGACATGGTCCTTCACTGCTGGCCGTATGAGGAAGCTCAAGGTCGCTCAGCGAGCTATGGAGAGGGCTATGTTCGGGGTTTCTCTGCGTGATAAACTTAGAAATGAGGATATCCGCAGTAGAACCAGTGTGACTGAAGCGGCAATGGGCCGGCTATATAGCTGGAAGAACCAACAACCGATGGGGAAAAAAGTTTCTCGAGTGGCAGCCTCGTACTAGTAGGCGAAGTGTAGATGGAGTTACTACCGGTAACGATGCAATCTCCATCTCAAGGAAAACCAGCATCAAATAGCAAGTTAATGCTACAATATTTCTAATTGTAGGTTACATGGACGCTGGTAACACCGCTGGGCGAAAGTTAGTAAGTGTATATTGACGTGACAACGTCTTATAAATTGGTTTGCCGGGTGACACTTCAAGAAACTGCGTTACGCTCCGCTCACGTTATGCGCTCACAATGAGAGCGAGTGAGAGGCACGCGTCCCTTCCACTCGGGCATGGTTAGCCCGCCTAAGAGCGAGAGAGACAGACATAAAAAGTGAAAGGCACGCGTCCCTTCCACTCGAGCAATAGTAGTAATGGTAAGACATGCAGGAAGCCGTTGGATGCAGGTGGCTCAGGACCGTGCTTTGTGGCAGAGGCCTATGTTCAGTAGTGGACCTGTCAAGGGATGATAAATGATGATGGTAGTGATCACTTCATTCCCAAGGGTAATTAAAATTAATTTTTTTTTTAATATTAATGCTTTGAGCAGGTCACATTTTGTATATTTTCTGGTATTCAGTTGTAAAAGCGGATACATCGTCGCAAGCATGAATTAATGACTCGGTGGAATCAAGTCAACTGGTATTTCTAGCTTCTGTATGTACCTATCTATCATATTTGTGTGTTTGTGTTGCAGGCAAAACGATGTCGCACTATGGGCTATGTATCGTATAGACACAGCCGGGAGCTAGTCGTAGAGGAGGCCGTCTCTACTCACGGTAAGGAAATTCTTACGTAGATACTCTACACTAGTGTTGGCACTTTCGTCTCCGGTCGTGTGAATATTACATATTAATACATATATTACATCCATGGCCTTTGATTCGTTGAAGTAACACAAATGTAGTATTGATAGATCCACTGCGGTCAAACGACCATACACTAACTCCATGACTGCACTTGCTTGGTCTTATATAGTACCAGTAAGTAATAATTCTAATCTAAAGAATTTCTGCAGTGGAATTAATAGTAACTTTATGCGTCAACAACCTTATCTCACATTTTGTTGCTTACTCAACATTACTTCGTGTCGCGTCTTGTTCAGTGTATTGATGACTCAAATACGTTTTGTATAACACAAAATAATGCAATTTAATATTTAGAAATCACTATAATTGATCATTCCTATGTTAGTCATTGAGTAGATTGTACTGTAATAATCTACTAATAGCAGTAATATCATGGATACACTAGATGTACAACAACATCTGAAAAAGATTCACCCCAGTCTAGAAAATAATGTTTATGCTGCCAATAGACTGCCCATGTACACCCACGTGGCAACGTATATAATATGCAATTTGGGTACAGATGATAAACCAGGGTCACATTGGGTAGCTTTATATATCGATACGAATGACGTCGGTCAATGTTTTGATTCATATGGACGAGCACCTGTACGATAACATGTAGGAGTTTTTAAAACGGAATTGTAAAAGATGGAACTGGAATGTTGATAGGATTCAGAATGAGTGGACTTCAGTTTGTGGCGAATATTGCTTAATGTATTTGCTATATACGTTTCAGGGATGTTCAATGCATAGTTTTACGAGTATATTTACAGGGAACACATTGTACAACGATATTTTAGTGGATGAGATGTTTCGCTCCTATTTTATAGATAATAAGTAATAAGATTTTGTATTTCGTAAATAAAAATTGTAATAAATTTAGGTAATGTATTTTATTGATGATTCAGATTAGCGTTGCAGTTAGGAACAAAGGAGTATAATACAATAGCACTGATAATGCGACGCACGAATAGACAATGACGGTATTCAATCAACAATAGTTAAGAACAATGGGACGCTAATGACAGTGGAGGCCCTCACCGGATATCAAATAGATAAGAGTTAATTGATCTGCACATCTCCGGAACCGTGCATCCTATGCAAAAACGGACCGCAGATTCGTGATCATAGCATGCCAAAATATTTTTTTTTATATAGGATCGTGAGTCGATGAACGTTGTACCGCTTCTGACTCAGTGAGCCAGAACTGGTACTAAATACACACGTAAGAAAATAACAGAAAGAAAAGTAAGTTTGTCAATAGAATAAACACTTAAAATTGCAATTAACAATTTAATTGTTGCCAGCGGGGATCGAACCCTGATCGCGTACTGTGAAATTTACAGCTTGCGCTAACCATCTGAGCTACCACGGCTTAATCATATACACACAGTATTTAAATATAATTTGTTAACACTAAATAATACACACGTAAGAAAATAACAGAAAGAAAAGTAAGTTTGTCAATAGAATAAACACTTACATCCATGGGCTTTGATATGTTGAAGTAACACAAATGTAGTATTGATAGATCCACTGCGGTCAAATGACCATACACTAACTCCATGACTGCAGTTGCTTGGTCTTATGTAGTACCAGTAAGTAATAATTCTAATCTAAAGTATTTCTGCAGTGGAATTGATAGTAACTTTATGCGTCAACAAGCTTATCTCTGGCAGAATCGCTGGAGGACTTAAGCACTATGCTCAATGACCTCAATAGTGCCTCCCAACGGATAGGTCTTAAGATGAACATGGACAAAACAAAGATTATGTTTAATGTCCATGTCACACCTATGCCGGTAGTTGTTGGGAGCACTATGCTCGAAGTTGTTGACGAGTACGTTTACCTGGGACAAATAGTCCGACTAGGTAAGTCCAACTTCGACCGAGAGGTCAATCGACGGATTCAACTCGGCTGGGCAGCGTTCGGGAAATTACGACATATCTTCTCGTCAGGTATACCTCAATCTCTGAAAACTAAAGTGTACAACCAGTGCGTGTTGCCAGTGATGACTTACGGATCAGAGACGTGGTCCTTCACTGCTGGCCGTATGAGGACGCTCAAGGTCGCTCAGCGAGCTATGGAGAGGGCTATGCTCGGAGTTTCTCTGCGTGATAGACTCAGAAATGAGGATATCCGCAGTAAAACCAGATTGACCGACATAGCCCAACGGATTAGTAAGCTGAAGTGGCAATGGGCCGGCCATATAGCTCGAAGAACCGATAACCGATGGGGAAGAAAGGTTCTCGAGTGGCAGCCTCGTACCGGTAGGCGTAGTGTAGGGCGACCCCCCACTAGATGGAGTGACGACCTGGTAAGATATGCAGGAAGTCGATGGATGCAGGTGGCTCAGGACCGTGCTTTGTGGCATTACTTGGGGGAGGCCTATGTTCAGCAGTGGACTTGTGAAGGGCTGTGATGATGATGATGATGATGATGATGATGATGAAGCTTATCTCAAATTCTGTTGCTTACTCAGCATTACTTCGTGTTGCGTCTTGTTCAGTGTATTGATGACTCAAATACGTTTTATAGAACACAAAATAATGCAATTTAATATTTAGAAATCACTATAATTGATCATTCCTATGTTAGTCATTGAGTAGATTGTACTGTAATAATCTACTAATAGCAGTAATATCATGGATACACTAGATGTACAACAACATCTGAAAAAGATTCACCCCAGTCTAGAAAATAATGTTTATGCTGCTAACAGACTGCCCATGTACACCCACGTACCAACGTATATAATATGCAATTTGGGTACAGATGATAAACCAGCGTCACATTGGGTAGCTTTATATATCGATACGAATGACGTCGGCCAATATTTTGATTCATACGGACGAGCACCTGTACGATAACATCTAGAGTTTTTAAAAAGGAATTGTAAAAGATGGAACTGGAATGTTGATAAGATTCAGAATGAGTGGACTTCAGTTTGTGGCGAATATTGCTTAATGTATTTGCTATATACGTTTCAGGGATGTTCAATGCATAGTTTTACGAGTATATTTACAAGTAACACATTGTACAACGATATTTTAGTGATGAGATGTTTCGCTCCTATTTTATAGATAATATTACAGTAATAAGATTTTGTATTTCGTAAATAAAAATTGTAACAAAATTAGGCGGTGGAGGCCCTCACCGGATATCAATTAGATAAGAGTTAATTGATCTGCACATCTCAGGAACGGTGCATCCCACGCAAAAACGCAATAATAACATCCCCGGAGAATCGTGATCAGAGCGTGCCAAAACCTTTTTTTTTTAGGATCGTGAGTCGACGAACGTTGTACCATTTCTGACTTAGTGAGCCAGAACTGGTACAACGTAACTACTTATATAAAGGGCATATTTAGCTAAAATAGTTAAAAAAGTAAAGACGTTTGGTGAATCAGCCTATAAACACTGTCCCAATACAGGAAATAAGCGTATTTTCACAACAGACCAGGAGTATATGCTTGTGGATTATTTAAAGACTGCTTCTGGCATTTGATTATGCAATAACCCATAATACCACTCCAAATAAATGGAAGGAAATTAAAATTGCAAGTGATGATTGTCTCAAAGGGCTTATGAACAGACACAAAGATTTAACTGTGAAAGCACGTCTCTATCCCGTGCAACAAGTTTTAATAAAACTAACGTAAACACATTTTTCAGAAACTAAACACTGTTTTGCGCAAATACCATTTTCCTCCCCATATGATTTTTAACGCTGACGAAAGAGGCTGCAGCTCCGTCACCAATGCTCCTAAAGTCATAGCTGAAAGGGGTTCGGAGAAAATTGGGCAAGTTACCTCAGCTGAACGAGGAAATTCTTTATTTATGCTGCTGGTGGTTTTTTACCCCATATTTTTGTATTTACTAGAGTAATCTATAAAAATCATATGTTAAATAATGGATGGATGACTGAGAATTGGTTTGTTAAAGCGCTTGAACACTTTGTGATGCATGTTAGGCCATCAAAGGGGAATCCAGCATTAATATTAATGAATAATCACAACTCTCATGTGAATCTCAGAGTGGTTGTATTTGCCAGACAAAATTCAGTGAGTACAACAGAAAAATCTTCATACGTCACTGATAGACCTGATCCATCACAGTCTTACGAAGGTAATAAGTTGAACTTGGAAAAGGAAATTAATGAAACTAACTTGAGATAAACGCCTCTGTCTTCTACAAACCCACTTGAAGCTCGCGAGGAAAATGCGGTTGTTACAGACCAGATTATCAGACCATCTCCCCATTTAACCTCTTCCCCTACGATTGCGATTCCGAGTACTTCTAGGCAACAAATTGTCACCAGAAAGGATAGACCATTTTCTAAAGCGGGGCCAAGACAAAACAACACGCAATAATAGTAGAATGTCGTCTGCCATCGTGACTGACACTACCGAGAACAAAAAATTATTTTAACACTCACAAAACAGCCCATAAAAACCCTTTATAAAAAATCAAGAAAATGTCAAGGAAATTCTGTACTACTAGATGACTTTGAAAAAGGTTGTTCAAAGCAAAACAAACTCCAAAATAAATATAAATAGTGATAATTGCGTAATTTGCAGTAAATCACATGAAAGTAGTGATCAAGATTGGTTTCAGTGCAAAATTTGTTCTGAGTGGGCTCACGAATGTTGTGGCATTAAGGGAAAATTTAATTTATTTTGCAAGATATGTTTCTAATTTTAAGCAAATTACATTGTATATTCCAAAGTTTCCTAAAAGATTCAAGTGAGCAATATCTTTTTTGAAGTTTTTAAAGATTTAACGATGTTTTGTTTGTGTTTTAGAAGATATTTGTTATTTAGTGTGATTTTCAACATTGCTATTAATTAAAAATAATACATACATAAACACTCACGCCTGTCACCCAAGGGGTAGCAGAGATTATGGACTTCCATTTGGCACACCTGACATACCTCTTTCGCCTCCTTTACATCCATATATCTACGCATACATGCTCATTAAAAATAATCTACCTCTAATACGTTTAGAGTTTTATATATATATATATATATATATATATATATATATATATCTATTATATTAAAATATAATAGGTATGACTTAATAATACTAAGATTTGAGCGTTGTTAGAAGTACTTAAAATGACTGATGGAATTAAAATTTCTTAAAAATGTAAAAAAAAAAAAAAATACAGACTGGCTCTATAAGACACACTTTTTTCAAAATGAATATTTTTTTGAATTTTTCTAAGCGTTTAAGATTTGTCGTATGCAGTTACCTACTTTAATAAATACCTAAATAGTAATTGAAGAAAAAAATCACCATTTCTTTCATTAAAAGTATGTTTTTTTTTGCTCCGTTTTGTAAACCGGCTCTTACATGCCACTTCTCCTCTATATATCGTAGGTCAAAAAATCAATCGTTTATGTTTCTGAACAGGAGTTGAATTCGATTGGGCTTGAATTAAGGACTCGCAACTTCTTACTGAACTGTTCAGTCGATCAAGGCACGTTTTTCTTTTAAATTATTTACAGAGGCTGAAAAAGAAAATATACCGCAGAATAAACAGCTTCAAAGCACTGAACTTGAGAGGAGCGCTACGGCGATGCTTCAGGAAGCAGGCTTAGCGGACATGCAAACATGCGAACCCATCGAAGTGGAAACCCTCTCTGAAGCATCTGGAACGCCCCTGGGCAGTCTGGACAGGACTAAAGTTTCACTTGGCGACTCTGAACACACTACTGATTCCAAGAGATTTATACTGTGAGTAATTCTATATCTTGTTGTAGTGTAAGTGCGACAAACGAGCACAGAGTCTACGAGTCTAAGTGGATGCTGTGGCCCATAACCTGCATTCTTTGTACGAGGTTGGCTGCAGGCAGGTGTCCATGGACTGTCATAGATAACCACTTCCCGTCAGGTGGACTCTAATTTCGTTTATCACTAAAATAACCTCTAACTTGGCACGGTGTACTGTAGGATACGATCGATTTCAAAAAAAAATCTGCTCCTAAACTTTTTAACTTGGATAATTTTTTTCTATTAAATAATAATCTCCATTTATTTATCTAAAAGTAGGAAATTGATTTTGTGCTTCTGATAACACAATTTTGTCAATATCGCGCAAAATGGCGGACGGTCAGCAGGCGCCTACGCACAGCAAGGTAAAAATTTGATTTAGTCAATTATTTTAACTAATAATTTATTGATTTGAGAGTGTGACCTTATTGTTAACAATATACTCTTTATGTAAACATAACTTTCTGGTTCCTCACTGCTTTGTAAAGTGGCTATATCTTAACGTTTTTTCAATCGTATCTTTAAAGATACACCGCCAGGTGGCCTGCATATATCCTTATAACTTGGCCGTATCTTTAAAGATACGCTACGAGATTATCCGTAAAGTACTTAAGTAATTTTGTTTTTTTGTTTTGATGACGAATAAAATGACCAGCTGCTCACTGAGGCCTCGCCTGTGTGATTAAAAATCGACTAAATCGTACTTTTTCAGATGATACATCTACAACAACGACATAGAACACGCAAACTTTTGGCTTTAGTTCCAAAACCTGGAGCCAAATCTGATGTAGAGTGTAGTGAATCATCTGGTGATGAAATGCAGAATTATGTCCCGCCAGACAATTCTAACAGCAGTTCTCCACCACCATCTTTGCAGTGTTCTCTTGAAAATCTATAAAATCTAATCTTTAAAATCTGCACTTATTATCTGACGAAGAGACTACTGATGTTGCCAATGATACCCCAGCGTTATTTCGCAATTCACAAGATTCCAATCCCTGCTCGCCGTCAATTTTGTCTGGAAACAGGTCAACTGAGGTTTTATCGCCTTTACAAAGACTTTGTGCATCCAGTTCAGCTCCATCAGAAGCATTAAGATACATTAAAAATTGCTTAAAACAAATGAGGAGCCTCGCTTTAGTGTAGACGAGATGATAGTGCTATAAAAGCAGAGGAGCTGGAAGCAAAAGACAGTACATACAAAATAAACAAATAAAATGGGGATACAAAATATTTGTACGAGCTGCTGTTTCCGGATTATTACGTTTTTTTTAGTATATGGAGGGGAAGACAAATTCCACTTCCAAAGTTTTACTGAGAAAGAAGAGAGAATGGGAGTAGGAGCGATGGTCGTTCTGGCACTGGCACAGTCTATACAAGCCCCAGCATGAAAGGCGTTGTACTTTGATAAATTCTTTACATCAACTGAACTCATTTGTCATCTGAGGAACGAATATGGGATCTTTTCCTTGGGTATAATAAGATCGATCCGACTGAGAGGTGCTGAAGAAAACCTACCAACTGACAAAAATCAGAAGAAGAAGGGCAGGGGCTCTCACGCTCAAGTTTTTTGTCATAAACACAAAGTAGTCGCTTGCAAGTGGAACAATAACAAATGCGTTACTGCAGCCAGCTCTTATGTTTATTCTTTTCCTATGGAGACAGTGCCACGATATATCAAAGATGCCAAAAAAAGATTGCCAGTCTCATGTCCTCGTCTGATCGAAGAATATAACACTAATATGGGAGGGATAGATCTAGCGGATATGCTGATAGCTTTATATCGAACAGAATTACGTGGTCATCGCTGTCTTTGCCTATTTTCTTTCAAATGCTCGATATTTGCATTGACAATGCATGGTTACATACCGACGAGGGAAGAAAAATGAAAAGTTGATGAGCTTGAAATACTTTCGATTTGAAGTTTTAAAAGTCTACTCAAGTTTGCCAGACTATGCATGAAGAAAAACAGCATTCGTGATAAATCTGTAATCACACATCCTAAGCCAACAGTTGAGAGGCTTAGCGATGGTGTGCGTTATGATAAAATAGATCAATTACCGACATTTTATTCTGAAGGAAGATGTCGTTTTTGCAAATTGGGACAAATAACGGTTTTCTGTCAAAACTATAATGTAAGAGTTTGCTTGGTTAAATAAATAATATATTTTTGATATACCTAATTTCTAAGAATATATGCAAAATGTGGCATATCATAATGATTAATGTTCTCAGGTACTGATCTCAAAAATTGAGCTGTGACTATAATTAAAAATGTTAAAAGAAATTTAATTTTTACTATTTTTTGACTGGCCTGTTGGTCTAGTGGTTAGTGACCCTGACTGCTATGCCGCAGGTCGTGGGTTCGATTCCCACCCAGAACAAATGTTTGTGTGATGAGCACGATCATTTGTTCTGTGTCTGGGTGTAATTTATCTATAATATTTATGTATTTAGAAATATATAAGTATGTTTATCAGTTGTCTAGTACCCATAACACAAGCTCTGCTTAGCTTGGGACTAGATGGCGTTGTGTGATAGTTGTGGAATATTATTATTATTATTTAATTTATACGTACACTATATTATAAATTATAATTACTGATATATAATTTTTGCTGTGACTATGGTTAAAAATGTTAAAAGAAATTTAATTTTTTTCCAAGATGCAACCTGTAACTTCAGATAATGGAAACCTTTGTTTTGTTGGAATTGATTAAATTAGTCACAATTTCGAGGTTGTAGCTACCATAAATAAAATTTTATTTGTTTGTCTATAGATTCTGTTGTAAAGTTTTTAGGTTTGAAACTACATGTTGTTTTACAATTCAATTTATTACTTATTGATGTCAACAATTTGTGATTCAAAAATACTTTATGATTCATTTGTGCGACATAAATAAAAAATAGGTTTGTTTTAATTAAACTAAAATAATGTTACTTAATAATATAAGAAACTTTAAAGTTGAATAATTAATTTATATGTAGAATTTTTTTTTGTTTGTCACGCACGTGGCATACGACTTTCTTTTCACGTCTTTTGGGATACGAACAATTTTTTTATTTGATCTGTGGCTTATCTGGCACGGTATCTTTAAAGATACAATAAATATTTCTTAAACTACAAAAGCAAGAATTTTATTTTAATTTTCCCCGTACTATTTAGACCCTAACTAAACCAGTTATACTAAAAAAAATTAAAATTTTACGAAAAAAAATATTCCTGCCAAGTATAGGGATAAGAAAGAACAATATATACTTATGTAACTGATACAAAATTAGAAGATAGTCTTATCCGAAATGATCACACCGCACTTTACTCGGAGATTTTCCCGTTTTGTTTCAAAATATATTTCATTTACAGTGACCAATGGGGAACCGAGGGAACGATGAGGAAAATCTTACAAAATATAAAGGAGGGGACAAGACCGATTACTATCCATAAGTTAATAATGAACGGGCCCACAACACCGGGAAAACATAATATCATAGCAGCGCGCTGTTTCTCTTCCGTGCTCAGTATGTACCGATTAAACCATTAATACATTATAAACTACCTAATAATAAAAATAGACTAACACTAGTTATCTATTTTCAGAATTGAAGCAATGTGGCTTCATCCAAGTGCGTAAAGACCCACAAACTTTGGAAATTACGGACATATTTTTGGGACGGCAATTTGATAAAGTAATGTAAATTTATTATTGTTGTTTCCTTAATAAATAAATAAAATATATAAAGTAATAATTACGGCCCGCGCGTTCTATATTGGTCGGGCTGAAGTTGACTTGCCTGAGACATTTGCGCATGCACTGGCGCAAGTAGTAAAGAGCTTCATATTCTCCCCTAAGGCCGCGTAGGTAAACAGTTTGTAATGACTATATCGATATCGATTATACAATAAATTGAAAATTGTTATATTCATTAAAATATCTAATAAAATATCTTTATGTATTTCAATAAAACAATATAGTATCATCAATATAATAAGAAATTTAATTGTTTAAGTTTAAACTTTTTAGTTAATGACGATAAGTGTTGGTTGTTTTAAATAAATATATTCCTTTTTCTACTGTATATATTTTTATTTACCTATCCTCTTCAAAATATACTACTGACTTAAAATTGATTCTTTAGGTTTATGTTGCATAAATCTTCACGCAATCTCATTTTAAACGTTTGAAAACACTATGCTTTTTTACCATTAACTCCCTTGTCATTCCAGTACACCCCGGTTCAAGTGTGAATAGGAATGACATATATTTTGGTTAATATCATAATGTGTATTATTATAGTTTGGTGGCTTTTTTGGCATTTTCGGAAAATATACGCAGGCGGAGAAAATAAGAAGCAGTCATACATGTCATATTTGTACAACAATATTGAAAAAATTTAGTGTGAATTTCGATTTTGTGCCTACTGTTAAGATGCCGTTACAATTACATGGTAAATAGACAGTTATAAATATAGATATAGTTACGATAACGTTATCCGTGGTACCATAACGATATCTACTATTTATATAGATAATACTATCGTCAAACGATCTCGTTTCATCGGTCAAGCTATGTCATTATATTATTATCAACTAATGAATTTTATGAAATGCCGCCATTTCATGAAATGATCGAATACTATATGATACTTTTAATTCAACGATCTGGTCGCAACATATATAAAAATCTCTAACTATAAGGATAATTCAGAGTTTGGCTATGATATCAGTTTAATCGGTTTGTTTTAGATTAGTACTCGTAATTAAACTAAAAACGATCTCAGATTTTATAATTTTTGATGGATGTCACTATCTATACTGAACTTAGTGACATAACTAAAAACTTACAAAATGACTGTTAGAATTTTAAAATCATTTCATAAATCGATTTATTTAAACATATACGTAGATGTAAGCTGCTTATATATCTGCTAGAGGCAAATGTACAAGGGACAATTTTTTGTAATTTATGATAGATGGCGCTGTTTTACGTAGATTGTAGACGTAGATTCTAATAATCACATAACAGCAAAAATTAATTCTGGGCTTTATTTATGAATATGTGTGTTTAAATATAAACACAATCTTATTTAATAGAAATTAACATCTAAAAGAAGGTAAATCCTCAGCCCTCCTTTTTTTGAAGTTCCGTAATCAGACAAAATATATATAAATTGCCCCGGATTTCTAACTATGTCCGTCCAGTAGTTTTGCGTGAATCGTGAATACACAGACAGACTGACAGAAAGTCTACCGTACCCTTCCCTTCGTTCAGTCCCTTGGACTTGCTTTTTCTACAGATTTATTATTTTTATAGAAGAGGCGGCAAACCAGCATGCGGCTCACCTGATGTTAAGTGACTACCGCCGCCCATGATGAACCGCAACACCAGGGGAATTGCAGGTGCGTTGCCGGCCCTTTAGAAAGGAGTAAGCTCTTTTCTTGAAGGTCCCAAGGTCGTATCGGTCCGGAAAATATTTAAAAAAATTCAATAATATTCAGTTTTGAGTTTTCAAAAAAATACAGAATATCCTAGAACGTGTGGGTACACAGACGCCATTCATCTCTATTATATAAAAATCAGTTATTGTCCGTTAGTGTCGCTAAACTCAGAAACAGCTCGACCAGTTTTGATGAAATTTTTTATGTGTGTTTGAAGTTTAAAAAGGTCCCGGGATGATCTAAACGATTCACAATGGGGCCCGCTAGGTGGCGCTGATGTCGAGATCTAGAAATGTTGGTGTGCGTTCACATATTATGCTGCCGCAAATGGACCTACTGGGAAAAATATTTGCTGCATATCACGCATTTGAATGGTTTTACTTTAATCCAGCTTTTCGCGTAAACGCTTTCGGACAAAAGTGCATGCAAACGGCCGTATTCCGGTGTACATACGCATGTGCTGTTATAGGCCGCCTTGTTGAGTAAACCGCTTAGAACATATCGAACACTGATGTGGTTTCATTTTAACATGAACTATGCGATTATGCTCATCGTATTCCGCACTGTTAAAAAGTTTTATCTGCACATACGTCAAGAAAATGTTAAGCGTGATGTTGGGTTAATTTGCGGCACCAAAATGTTTGCACCGTAGAAGTCTCTGTCGAGCCGCCTCCCACACACTTGCCACCGCAGACTTTGCATCTCTTTGTATGCTCCTCGCGATAATGGAGCGAATATTCTTAACAGTTAAAGAATATTTAGCGGCATTGAAGATCTGGCCTTATGGACGATGGCAACGTACACGTGAATGGTCCTCTGCAAAATCCGTAAAAGACAAACTTATAAATTAGAAAAAACTTCAAACTTTCTACTTTACCTATGCAACTTCATACCATAACTGCGTTATTAATTTGAAATGATACAAGCGAGATTCTATATTTCTTAAAGAAACACTTGTGATTGCCTTTAGGTAACATGGATAAAATTTTTAAGTAGAGCCGAAGTGAAATGCGAGCGATGATATACCTATTACTTATATATAATTTCTTTTGTAAAAACTTAACTTCACTTTTGCTACATGAGGTTTCTCGGCTCGGAGATTAAATGATAAAAATAACTGTTCTCCTTTTGATTGTTTAAACACTTTTAAATATTTACGAGCAGTAGACAGTTAGAAACTTACAAAGCGAACAAAATCGTAGTCTACTGTTTGATACCTATTATCTATAGGTAACAAGTAGTAGGTAGATTATGAAAACTATTATTTTTTCTGGTCTAGCACGTATAGATATCGGGAATATACTAGGTTAGAAAAGAAAATTAAGGCAATCTCTATGCACTATTTTGAACTCCACATACATCACGCAACAAAAGCATTTGAATCCAATGAACAAAAATGAAACATCCGTAACAAGCTACCGCACGGTGAATTAAAAAAGAAAAAACACGCTACTAATAAACACCTCAAATAAACTGATGGCTTCCCTTCCTTCATGTGCCCTACAAGCACATTTGTATGCTGGGTTGGTGGAGAATAAAACACTGACACTTTTTTCTTTCTTCTATATTTGATGTTTTCCTTGAGAGAGCTGGCCGCCGACTGTGTCGAACGACTTTTTTTTTTTTTTTTTGCGCCCGAAGCAATTAAAGGGCTACCCTGTACGTAGGGAGGCGGAAAATGCATTACGCATACCACGATAGCCGGTCTATCGTGGTTATGGGGGACTCACTGTCCTACCGGGGACCCTAAGTGATACCCCCTAAAAACCGCCTTTAGGGACAGGCAACCGGCTGATTAAGCTCTATTGTGCCTTATCATGAGCGACCCTCTTTTGGGAAAAGAGGGCGCAGGCGGCTAAGTGCCGCTGAGGGAGTGCCTACGAAGGCAAATTAATGTCAGATATTACAATAATTTTATTTAATTAGAGTTGGCCTGAGCTGCCAGGAGACAGTTCAGGTCGTTTGAGAGTTTATTAGGCGGGTCCGAGAGAGAGTTTCTCGGCCTGCGGACACGATAGCGAGAGGGGGGGTGGGGCTGCATAAGAAGCTGCCTCACGAATTAAGTGGTTTGGGTGCGACTCTGAGGCTTTGAAGAAGTTCTCAGAGAGTTTTTTAAGAAATTGCTGAATTGTTGGGAGCTCTAAGTCCCGATGAAGGTCGGCATTGCGGACGTACCACGGTGCGTTCGCAGCTCGACGACAGAATAGGTTCTGAACTATTTGGAGTTCATTTAAAATGTTAGGGTTTGCGTGGGCAAAGACGGGGCCCGCGTAGGACATGACTGGTCGTATACATACCTTATAGAGTGTACGCTTGTTTCGAAGGGACATTTTACTGTGTCGGCCCAACATACTGTTGAGCCTACTCAGATAAAAACGTGCGTGACGGGTTACTCTTTTGACGTGGGGCTTGAAAGTGAGCCCTGTGTCTAGAGTGACACCTAAATATTTGGCGGACGTATGCCAGGGGACAGGGGTCCCTAGCATACGTATTGGTGGAGTGTTTTTGAGACGGCGTCGTTTATAATCGAAGTGAACGGCGGAGCTCTTCTCCGGGTTCACATCGATGCGCCATTTTTTGAACCAAGCTCCTAGGTCATAAACTGACTTTTGGATCTTGTTCCGTATGAAGGGTAGTGAGACACCTTTGCAGTAGATGGCAGTGTCGTCTGCAAAGAGGGAGAGTTGAACACCTTTCGACGGGATGGGAATGTCGTTGGTGAATATGATGTACAGCAGAGGAGCAAGTACTGAGCCCTGAGGGACACCAGCCTTGATAGTTCGCTGTGAAGAGAGCGTGCCTTCGTGTCTGAAACGAAAGGTACGATGTTTTAAATAGGAGGCCACGAGACGAACTAGACGATCGGGGAGACCTATTTTATAGAGCTTGTAGATAAGGCCTGTGTGCCAGACTCTATCGAAAGCTTTGGCTATATCGAACAAGACCGCGATGGTCTTATGACGACGAGGATAGAAACCGCTGAGGATATATTCCACAATGCGGTGAACTTGTTGGGGACATGAGTGTTTGGCTCGGAAGCCGAATTGATGGGGAATGATAAGAGGGTCGCCGTCTGTGGGAAACAGGTAGCGCCTCATACGACTTTGGATGACTCTTTCGAAGAGCTTGCCCATTGCCTTGAGGAGGCTAATGGGGCGATGGCTGGAGGGGGAGGTTGAGAGGCTTGCCTGGCTTGGGAATTCCAATCACAGTAGCCTCTTTCCACGTAGTGGGAAAATAACTGAGGTTGAAGCAGGCG